TTTCCAACATTATCTCCACTGTGGTACGTATCCAGCCCAGTCAAAGGCGGGATGATGGGTCTGAAAGTCAAAATGACATAGTAATGAATCCTAGATCTTGTGAAAATTCCTTAATCTGAGTTTTAATGTTCTCACCTATATAATAGGTATGATGGCTCTTGAGAAGGTATGCATCGATGAGGACTATATTTCACTATAAGTAACAAATAGTACCTTACAAGTAAGGAATTTGTTTGTTTCATGCAATAAGTACAGGGGAAGGCAGTCTAGGCTGGCACTATGGCTCAACAGTGTCATCAAGACCAAGATCCTTCCAGGTTCCAGCTTTGCCATTTTTAATACACGGTTTCATCTTTGTTGTTGTAGTTGGCTCTGCCCCTCTAGGCACTGCACCTATGTTCCCAGTAGCAAGAAGCACAAAGGGGCCAAAGCTGTTGAGGTCTACCAGCCAGGTGTGTCCTCCTCACTAAGCTTTCAGGTAAGCCCCCATCCAACAGCATCCACTAACATTACTGCAAGACCTGAGTCTCATGGCCACATGAGGCTATAAGGGAATCTAGGAAGGTGAGATGGGCATATTCACATCTCAAACAAAATTGAGGTTTTTTAGTTAGAAAGGAGAGAATAAATATCAAAGAGGCCATCAGCAATGTCTACCCCAATATTAAATTAGATACTTTGTGGAAAGTGCTAAGCACAGTAACCTAGCACATAGTTAACTATTCAATAAGAATTTAACCATAAGTACGCTATTATAATTATTATTGTTATTATCATTTACCTATCTTACTCTGGGGCCAAATGGAATAACTCATATTCAAATGTGTTCCTTACATTTCTACTTCATCCACTGTTCTCCAACACTATCCCTACTTCAAAGTCCAGGAAAATGTCATTTCATCCAAGCGGTTTTTCCTGACACCTACTCCTAATAATAAGTTCTATGGTGGCAGGACCCACATCAGACAAACACTCCTGTGTTCATCACTCCAGCAAGCAATAGTCCCTTGGAACACAGTAGGTTCTAATAAATAGTGTCTTGATACTTTAAGTAATTTATATACATACTCATACCTGCTTTTACAGTCAGTCCTCTAGAACCAAACATGCAAAAGTTAAACACTAGGTTCATATGTCATGAAGCCAGGGATTCTAGTAAGGTGAATAAAGACTGCATTACCCAAGAATAAGGAGAAAAAATTATAAAATTCTCTAATAACACCATACTTTTTACAAACTATGGGAGTTCAGATTATAGTGCTTCAAATATCCCCTCCCTACTATGGGCAGAGTCTACTTTTATCCATGGATGTTGGAATTCACCATGTGACTTGCAATATCCAAAAAGGTTGTTTGTGGAAATGCCATTTGCCTGTGCAATTTGGCTTGACTCTTGAATCCAGTGATCTGCATGAAAAGACAATGTCCCCAAATAGCTGTGATTCCTTCAGCATGGGCCCCAGAATACATGTGGAGCAGAACGGTACCCAGCCTGCAGCCTACAGCAGAGCCACCCCAAGGAGTCCAGCCTAGATCGTCCAAATCACATTCAACCTAAAGACACATGAGTGTGAGAATAAATACCTGTCGTTGTAAGTCAGGGAGTTGTGTTATGCAGCAAAAGTTGACTAATATATCCTTTACCATTTGACATATTTTAACATTTCTTACATATTCATTCATTTTGTTCTTTTCTTCACATAAGGAAGAACAGGCTGAAGAATTTCTGCTTTTGGTACACCTAATGAGTTCTATCTTTGGATCAACTGTTTTAAATTTATGAGACCTACATTATCATTAATATCAGTGCTTTTCTGCTTTCTATTTGTTCTACTATCTTTCTAAAATAAGGAAAACCACAATAAAGTATCAAGGAATAATATAAACATTGCTGAAACTAAACTGTTGGCTGGCAAGTACGTCTCCCATATGACAGCCAAAATGTTAACTTCTTAGCTGATAAAATGGGTTAAGGGGCATCCTAGTAAAACAAAAGAAAAATGTAGATTGTACAAAGTCAACCTCAACAAGTCAAAGACTATCTGTTAAGGTGAATTTGTGGACTCCAACACCATTCATCTAAACACATTTTTCAGGATACCTGTTTGGCAAACTATAACCATTGAGTTTCACCAGTGGGAAGACACAGATAAGGCTTCAGTCTTGTGACTTTTCCAACATAATAAAGCAAGAGGGCCATACTATTTTAATAAAATAACTTTAAATACAGTTATATTTATCACTGATGAAAAACAGTCTCTTTATAAGTGAAAGAGAAAATAAAATTCCAATCCCTTGGCAAAAAAAAAAAAAAGAGTAAACTGAATAACAAGGGCATGCATTCAACCAAGACCTACTAAAAATTACAACTGGAAATTTAAGGTATCAAGAGAAACGGAAGAGTGTGGATTTTGCTTTGTTTTACCTTCTTTTAAATCATCATCATTAAGTTTGGAACCAAATTTCCATTGGGCCAGCCAAAGCTGACCTACTACAAATATATAATACACATCACAAAATTTGCCTATTGATGGAAGCTACAGCCTTCAAAGTGGCAAGGCAAATAGGATAATGCAAAGACCATCAGCATTGCAGTGGACTCTTAACAGAATAAACCATATGTATGCTGGGAGAGACCACACTTGGGACTGGACATAGGCAGACCATACAACCAAAATTTGAATTCAAGGCCATGGCCAAGGTCATAGGCTCTGGGTCAGAGAAACCTGGCTCAAGTTCTCACTCTCACACTAAGCTGGGTCAAGATAGATACTTAATTGCTTTAGTTTCTTCTGTCTAGAATTTGGTAATAATAATAGTACCTACCTCACAGGGGTTCTGCAAGATTTAAAAAAGATAATGCATGGAAAGTACTCAGCAAGGTGCTAGCACGTACAATAACAATAATAATAATACTACCTTGACAAACCTGCTCCTACATGAAGACTGTCCTAATCAGTGTACTCTGGCTCATAGTCTGTTCATGAAATGCTGAATGCACAGCTTTGTATTCACATCCAGGTACAGCTCTCTGTACCTAAGAGGTGACAGCTCTCTGTATCAACCAGTAATTTTTCTACTGAATTCAGGAAGAAGGGTGTTGGAAAATAAGCTTTTCACTAATACAAAATTGAGAAGAATCTGGTCCTTCCACCCACAATCCATCCACCCGTGAAAGTCTTGCTGGTGAAAGCAATGCTTCCATCACCATCCACACACCGCCCCTCCAAACTGTGCAGGGCTTTTATGAAAGCACAGAAGCAGACTGATAAGATGGCTCACCTTAGAAGCAAATTCACCTCAGAGGCAAACTCTTCTGCCCTCCAGAAAGGATCTGACTTGACCCCACTGCCACCTCCAAACTGACACCCAAACTGGAAATGAAGAAGGAAGCCCTCATTTCCAGAAGTTGAGTTACACTGTCAAAAACTAAAAGAATCCCTTCTATTCGTGGGAATTCTGATAAAGCATGCTTGCCTGCTTCAAAAATATCTTATTAATCCATCCAAGAGAACCAACAGCCCAACACTGAAAACGATGTGACTTTACAAGGACAAGAGTGACCATAGGAGACAAAGTGCCACACCCTTTTCCAGAGAGCTCAACAGTAAATGCATCTCTTATAAAAGAAGCCCGCAATTCTAGAGAAATAGGTGGAAAATTCTAACCCACAACACTCTTCCCCAGCCCCCATTTCATTCTTTACACAGATCCATTTCATTTTCATTTTTAAATCAATGGCCTGAGCATCCCCAACTACTACAACTAATATGAGGTGGGGGGCGGGGAGAGACAAACAAAAGTCAAACATACTTGCTTCTAAGACCATTTTTGAAGACTTTTCTTCCCTCTTGTCTGCCTCTCACAGCTGGAGCCTCATACCTGGTGGAAACCAATGGTTAAGTAAAACCACTGATTTTAAAAAGCCAACCAGGAAACTAACCATGACAAGTGGGAGCTGCCCTCCTCCCCCGAGCATTGATTGGCTCTCGGGGTTGCACCGGTCCCTGTTCAGCCCACATAAGTGGCAGGTGTGGCTGTCAATCACACAGGGAACTGACAATTCACCGCTCCTGGAGTAAATTGCCTTTCATCTAGCAAAGGCAGGTAGCCGCCTAAAATCGATCCGCTAGTAACACAGCGGACCCTCCCTCTCTGGCAGGGAAAACAGAGACCCCTAAGTACAAAATAAACGAGACATACCCGATCCGAGAGTTTACGAGCGCTGTTACATTATCCCGCACCAAAGCAGCCCTTAATCTTCACTGTCCTAAGATGATCTTTCAAAGGATCAGATAGTAATTAAAAAAAAAAAAGGCACAATCCTCTAAGTACCTCTATTCTTGTATAATTCAGAGATGGGGAGCAGGACGAAAGGAGTGTCGTTCAGTTTAATTTCACGTCGTATTCGTTTTCGTACACCATCACCTCCTACCCTTCCCCATTAAATCCAGCTTCGTTTTCCCTGACACGGATTTTTTTTTTTTTAACACGTTCCCCTGGAGTCCAGCGAGGCAGCCTGGGACCCCACCCCCTGGGCTGGGGCTCCACCTTTCTCCACTTTGTTCTGCTTGAGGTTCCCTGAGACCCTTGCACCCGCGAACCCCCATCCCTCGAGGCAAGAGGGGGGAAGCCAGACGAAAAAGGGGGGAGCTGGAGAGAAGAAAAGCGATGGCAGTGAGGGTGGCTGCCGAAGACGGATTGCGGGAGGTGGCCCGGGCCGCCGGGACGAGAGGACGGCGCCCGCGCACCGGAGGAAGCCGTGCACTTGTTCCAATCCGGGGGTTTCTACATTAAGACAAATCCTCCTTTAGGCCGCCCCATCTTTTCCCCCGCCCCAGAAAGCCCCGGTGGAGGCGGATGGTTCACCCCTCGGCTTCCCCCGATAACGCATTGCAGCTCCCCACGAGTGAGGGGCACCGGCACGAGAGATGCCGGGGCACGGACGCCCAGTGAGAGCCGGGCGCCCAGCGCCCCCGGCCCTGGCGTCGACGTCTCACCTTTCCGATGCTCGCCCCGGGGCCGTCCCACATGGATTTTTACAACCTCACGTCGCCTTGGCCCCGGGCGGCCGGGAGGAGCCGGAGCCGGCGCCGGAGCGCGAGCGAGCCGGAGCGGGAGGAGGAGGAGCCCGGCGGGAAGGGAGGGAGGGAAGAAGGGAGGGCACCTCTCTGAGAGCCGAGGCCCGGCGCGGGGCCGGGCGGGACTGACGGCCGAGGGGGCGGCACCCGCCGCAGTCCCGAGACGCGCGCTCGCGCGGCGCTGCCCGAGCGGCGCTCCACCCGGCTCGCAGCCCGGCCGCTCCGCGCGCTCGCTCGCCGCGGCCCTGACTCACATTCCCAGCATTCCCGAGGAGCCGCTAGGGCGGGCCGGGGCCGGGGCGCGAGCGCCTCCGCGGGGGGCAGCAGAGAGCAGCCCGCCCGGGCGTGGTGCGCACGGCGGGGGTCTCCGAACCGCCTTCTACTTGGAGGCCGCTGTCTCGAAGCACCTCGTCCCCATTTTCTGTCCCCGACGCCTCTTCCCGGGCAACCCCTTGCAAAAGCTGTCAAGCACTCCCGGCTAGTCAGGTGGCTTCAGCGATGGCAGGGGCAGGGATGGCACTTGGTGGAGGAGAGGCAACTATCAATTTAAGCTTTAGAGTTCCTCATCCCCTGGCACCTTTCCATTAAGCTTAATCTTCTTTAGGAAGGGGAAGGGATTTTATAAGATTTTTACTTTCTTGTTCCCTCAAGGAAAGGAGAGAATGGAAGATGAAAGAAGGGAGCAAGAAAAAATATATCAACATCGTTGCCTTCATTCATCAAGTGCCTCCTCTGTGCCCTACAATGTGCTTGTATCATGCCATTTAAGGTGGAAAGATGGTGTCTGAGTTCATACACATACACACACACACACACACACACACACACACCTCGAGGTAAGGTGCAGGAGGAGATGGACAAGTTTTTCATTGGACATAGGTTCCACCCAGCAAGTCTGGAGCCCCAGCTGCTACCCTTTTGGATTAGCGAGGAGAATGGAAATGCCATGGGTATCTCCAGATTTGGTCTTTCACTGAGGAGTCCATTTGCAGGACTAGAGAGCAGTAATTTCCTTCCAGAACTGATGAGTCGGCTTCCAGCAATTTCAGTGGCCAGATCAAAATATCTCCTGCTGGGAAGCCCAGACAAATGAAGCAAATCCAGCCACGGGATATCTGGGTGAGCAGAAGTATGGAATCAGCGCGGTGACTAGGGATGACTCCTCTTTCCCCCCCTGATGGGAATGCAAATATTAGATGAAGGAAATGGATGCTGAAAGACGAGGATGCCTTCCCGTTGCAGACTAAATGCCCTAATTTTTAAGCCTTCCTTAAACATGATCCATGAGGTGTCTTTGCCCTCAGCCTCTTATTTCTGTCAGTCACCAAGAGATCCGCACTCACTCTGTTGACCTGGAAGCTTGCAGGGGCAAAACCAAGCTACACCTGTTGTGTTTGGTTTCCCATGTACACCGTTGTCTGACAGCCTTGGCTGAAAAGGATTGTTCTCTATTTTTTAAAAAGCCATTTTGAGAGTCCTTTAAGAAGTCATAAAATCCCATATCTATTAAAATGTGACCAGTGTATATTGAGTACCTCCTATGTGCAGCACTTAACATTTTCTCAACTACTCTCACAAAAATTCTGTAAGATGTTTACTATCTTTCAGAAAGGTCAGGTAATATACCCAGCTGAAAATGTATTTAAACCTATGCCTAAAGTTCACTATTCTTGGCCACGCATTCTCTTTTCCTTTGATCCATGGGTTCTAAACAGGAATCCTTATACTTCATGGTAACGATTTCTTATTTATATGCCTATAAACATTTCCCCCCCGGAGAGAAGATCTGTGGTTCTCAACAGGTTTCTTTCACATTGGGTCCTTGAAAAAGTTAAAAATAATCCCTTTAAATAGAAGCAACTTTATGTAGTAGAACAGGATTGGAAGTTTAGTAAGTTATCTTTACCCTCTCTAGGACTTAGTTTTCTCATCTGAAATATTAAAAAGCTGAACTAAAGGATCTTAAGATCCCTTCCAGAGCCAACATTCTCTAACTTTATGTTTAAATGTACAGAGAGCACGCGCTCAAAATGCGTATAAGTAGCCATTGGATGATCTCACCCCTAAGGACAGAAAATTATAAAATGTGTTATGTTTTATAAAACCTGTTATGTGGCTCCAGGTTTTTTCTTGGTTTTTGTTTCATTTTGCTTTGCTTTGTTTGTTTTCAACATCTTTCTCCATTATGGCAATCCATTCTCCAGCAAGTCAGAGGAAGCACACTTTATGACAGGTATTATTTTATCACATATTTATTCATTCATTCACTCAACCATTTCTTACTGACATGTACCCTGTGCTAGTCCTATAGGTTCAGAGCCCTTGCCCACAAGGACTGTACAATGCAGTAAGTGAGAGAGACAAGAAAACGGGCCATTACAATACTGCTTATGAAAAGACAAAGCTCTCAAAACTGGAGGCGCATATGGAAAGGACAGCCCCCCTTTTCCCTGAGGTTCAGAAAATTTCTCAAGGAAATGTCATCAGTCTTTTTGCCACATCCAACTTTCCTGCCCTACCCTGTGCTCAACCCACAACAGCAGCCTGCATGCTCTGTGAACCCAGCCATAGGAGGTTGGACTTTGCTGGACACCTGCCCCGGGGTGGGCTGTCACAGGCTTCCCACAGTATTTGAAACCGGGCCATGAGAATGAGTCAGCTGGTTGGTATTGAATGGTGAGCCTGTAGACTGTGGTGGCGCAAATCAGAACTATGGCACCCAGACTTAGATTTCTAACTGCTTACTTGATATCCCCAAGGTGGATAGCTAACTGGCTAACCAAACTTGATTTGTCCTAAACAGGACTCTGGGTTTTTATGTACCAAGTCTCTTCTCTCCCAAGGTTGCCCATCAACTTAATGAAACCACCATTTATCCAGGTGTTCAGATCCAAACCTAGGAGCATCTCTGATTCTTCTTTTTGCTTATATCATACATCCACCCCATCAGCCAGTTCTGTCAGCTCTACCTAGTGCCATACCAAGGCCTGAAGCAAAAAGAAAACTGTGCACTCCTATATATAGTTTTTTAACAAAGCAGAAAAAAATAATAAAAGCTCTACAATGAAAAATCATGACTATATATAAAGCCCTATGTGGTCCAATCAGTTTCCTCACCACTGTCAGACCTCATAAACCTGCCCGTGGGTAGACATGATGGCCAAGTGGCCCTGGAACTGAACACTGGTTGAAAACAACTGTTTTTGCTGCACAATGATAGAGAGTCAGAAGCAGACAATAACAACAACCTGTCTCTCTTTTTTCTTTTATAGCTTTTTCATTGTGTATTGTTTGCATTCATTTTGAATCCAGTACTTGCAAAGAAAAGCAAATCTTTAGATAGCCCATATTATGTATCAGGTCCTGTTCTAAGCATTTTATGTGTATTGCCTCACTTATTCCTCACAATCACCCTATAAGATACCACTATTATTCCTATTTTACAGATGAAGACTCTGAAGCACAGGAAAGTGATTTAACAAGACCACACAGCTAGGAAGTTGTAGAACTGAGATCCAAACCCAGGTGTTCGTTCACAAACTGGCTCCCTTACACGGAGGGCAGGGAGAGGCCGAAGAAAAAGGCAGACCCCTCCAGATTGGTAGGTAAAAGGTTTAATAGGCAAGGAAACTTACATACGAGGTTTGTCTGGGGAGGCCGAAAGATGTGTAGATCAGTGCACCAGCCCACCAGAGCTAAAAAGTTTACGTAGAGGCCGCATTCTCCCAAGGCCACATCCTTGAAACGGCTCCCACTGTGGGAATGATGGGAGAACATACATTCCAAGGACAGTGGTGGAGGTAAGAAGCTTCCAAATTCCCAGGTTCAGCTCCTGTGTAACCGGTGGTCACATTCTCTCAGTTACCTGACAACACCAGGTAGTCTGACTCCAAAATCAACAGGCAAAATTAACTGGACTTGGTAATTGGATATGGAACAAGAGGGAGGCACCAAAACTGTTCCCAGGAATCTGATTTGGGCAACTATTGGGTTGTCAGAAAAGTCATGACGTATTTCGTCTATGTTTTTCAAAGGTCATTTATTTATATAAAGAACAAAGATCAATCAATGATATATTGCCCATTTTGTTCAATAACCTTTTGCCATCTTTCAGTGAGCTTCATAATTCCTCATTCATAGAAGGACCTGTCTTTATTTGCGAAAAACTGAACAAGGTGCTGATTTACAGCCCCATGTGAATTGAACGTTATACCATGCAAGGAGTTTTGAAGAGAGCGAAACAAGTGGAAGTCTGATGGCGCAAGGTCAGGCGAGTGTGGTGGGTGTGGCAACACATGCCATCCAAGCTCCAATAATTTTTGACGGGTGATCAAACTTGTGTGTGGTCTCGCGTTTGTCATGATGGAACGCAACTCCTTTACAATGAACAAGCTCTGGACACTTCTGGATGATGGATTCGTTCAAACTTTCCAATTGCTGACAGTACATATTCGAATTGATTGTTTGGTTCCTTGGTAGGAGCTCAAAAAACATGACACCTTTAAAATCCCACCACACTGAGAGCATAACCTTCCTCTGATGAATGTCTGTTTTTGATGTCTTTTGAGGCGAATCATCACGTCGGGATCAAGACCGTTTGTGCACCATATTGTTTTAAACAATCCACTTCTCATCACCAGTTATCAGTCACTTCAAAAAAGGATCGTTTTCCTCACGTTTAATGAGCATATTGCAGATGTTTACATGCGCCATCAAATGAATTTCTTTGAGTTCATGCGGAACCCAAATATCGAGCTTGCTTACGTATCCCAGCTTTTTCAGGTGGTCCTGAACACTTGAATGATGGATGTTCAATGTTTCTGCAATCTCCCGTGTCGTGTAACGTGAGTTTGACTCGATCAATGCCTTTATTTTGTCGTCATCAACCTCGGTGGGCCTTCCTGTCCAAGGAGTGTCGTTGAGATCAAAATCACCAGCACAGAATTTCATGAACCATCATTGGCACTGACGTTCTTGTAGAGCATTGTCACCATAAACTTTATGCAACTTTTCACAAGCTTGACATGCGTTCTTCCCTTTATGGAAATAAAACAGTAAAATATGGCAAAAATGCACAGCTTGGTCTTCCATCTTCAACTTGTTGTAAAATCTCCAAAACTCAACCAAATTGCTCAATTTT